TATTATTTATGATTTTGAATTTGTTGTTAACAATATATAGACATGTGCCACGTTGTGATATTTTTGATATGTGCCTTATGTATGTTATCTACTTGTATAGGAAAATAAAACGAAGTAAAGATAAGAAAAGTTTGGCATATAGATAAAGAAATAGGAAGATAGATAACAATTGTCGTTATATGTGTGTAGTGTAATCTGTTTCGTCATATTTGTACAATAGTATTATTGTTGACACCTTATGTAAGATATTTCAAAAAAGTTCCTTGTGACAGTTTATGTTTAAAGTTTTAAAATGTACTAACCTAATTTAATCTAAATTTATTTTTGTTTTTTGCCACTGAAGAAAATTTAGCTAATAAATTGAAACGTCTGGCTTATATTATATTATATCTATAGTATAATATTATTCATTACGAATTGCAAGCAAACTTAATATACTAAATAAAATTAAATCAAGTGATGCAACACAACTCCCTATTGTTTAAAAGTAATTCCTGAATTTTCAGAGAAGACACATCTCAGGGAGGTCTACTAGAGAGAGGGGCATTTTGATTCCAGTTAGACTCTGTGCAAAATTGGCATCTACGTGGAATCGCTCGATTCAAATGCGTGGGGTTTAATCTTAGAGTTTGTCGCGATATTTCTTCCGAAAAAGGCTACTGTCGTTACTTATATAATACTACATTAGTTATATTTTATGCAGCAGCTTCTTCCATAGCGTCGCAGTATACCAGTGACGTAGACATATTTCTACTTATATAATAGTCTAGTTTCTTCCCGAAAAGGCTACTTTCGTTAACTTTGTTACGAAACGTTCTGAAGAAATGAAGTGTCAATATACATCATAAAAACACTTTAAAAGGAATAAACTTCAAATTATTAGTAAGTATTTTTGCACCGTGACGACTATTTCTACTACATTATGTCGAAACGTTTTTGATATATGTTCGTTGTGGAAGACGAGTCCAGTACATGGTCAATTAACTCACCACCATTTATTATAACTAAAGATCAGTAATCGAGAGCATGCTTAATAACCTTTTTTCCATTCGACAACAAACTGCAATGGTTCACCATTTATATATCGTTTTAAATTCTGAATAAATATTTGTGCAATATCGTTTGAAGCAATTGAGCTTACTGCACTAATATGTGGTGTTATTTGTATCTTGTCTGTACCGAAATCATATAATTTAGATGTTACAGGTAACGGTTCATGAATAAATACATCTAAAATAGCATGTGAAATATAATTGTTATTTAATGCCAGGTCCAGGTTGATCACAAAATAAAGTTAAAACACGTGGCTAGAGGTTAATACAGCCGGATTTGGATATTCAGTCTGAATTTGTGATGTGAGAAAGATCTTTGTACATATTAATGAGACTTTTTCGAATTTTTGTCTTTTGATCTTTACTGTCCTTTGGGTACCAAAACTCCAGCTCTATTAGCATCTAACCACATGTATTTCCATCATTTAAAGACCATTCTGAGCTCTTCACGAAGATTCCTTACCGAGAACCCGAGCAACTACAAATAGCCTCGTTTTGCCGTCTGTTGTAGCGATAACTCCCACAAACCATGATAGATGGAGTGAAACAAAAAATTTCGTCACCATACTTTGACATGATCAGAATCTCCTAAAAGTTTGATCTAGATCGCACTTATACTTTTAGACGGTGAAAATCCTTGAGTAGCTCAGATCACTAACACTTTTAAATGATTTATAGTTTGTTATTAGCTTCTTATCGAGAAGAAGAGGTAAGTTCATATTCCCTACTTCTTCGACTCTTTTCTTTTCTTTCTTTCCTTTTTCTCTTTTTTTTAACGATAGTTATTTACTTTGTTGTTATTTCCATTTGTCTTTGTTACGTTTTTCCAGACAGCCAGGTACAATGCATCTTACTCATACTTACATTAAGTTTACAGCATACTCACTTCAAGAATTTACTCTCCTTCTCGAAAGCCAAGATACTTAGTTAGACTATGGATGGCAGACGGATTTGAGTCAGCCATGCGTGGGGTTCGATTTTCAAAACTGGACATTCGACGAATTCTTTTAGCAAACAAGAATGTCTCACCTGGAGGAAACTGATTGGAAACCAGTGCACAGGACCTCAACTTTTTTGGGTGATATATTTTGCTTTTCTGCACTAATATAGCGTTAAGATTAACACTATACTTTGCACTACCGTGGTGACGCGAGCTCAGGAGCTCACATGTTTACAGAAGTGAAGTTTATTCTATTAGAATCACCGGATTTTACCGAGTATTATCCATAAAATTTCGAGATGTGTATGAACATGGGTGATCGAGAAGTTTGATCATCTCGCAGCAATATTTGTTTTTAACTGTGACTCAGACTTACTCGAGAATGAGAAATCCAAATAGCTGTACCTGGTTTTTTTCTATTTTTGTTCCTTTCTGTTCCTGTTCTTGTCCTCCTCTTTCTCCCTCTTTTAACAGATACATGAGCATGTCTCCTCTGTCCTTTATGAGAGAGCGAAAAAATGAAGCATATATAAGAATTTGAGTTGAGAGTAAAGATCACTTGTTGTTTTTCTATTTTTTAACTTTCTGAATATCAAACAAGAAGAAGGTAAGAAATGTTTTTCTTAATCAAAACAGAAATAAAGAAGGGCTTGAATGTGTCACTGTTAATAGATTTTTTGTGAGAAACGAGGGTGCATTAATTAGATGCTTCATCATCACAGACGCGCTTGCCGGGAGTCCCTCCCCAGCGGGTAATTTGTTCTTCAAATGACCCCTGATAGAAACACTAAACTAAACTTGTTCGAGATGGATCAACGCCTTCTAAATTAAGGGCCCGTTTTTTCAGTTCGAAATCATTCACATAAAGTTCAATGGTAACTTTAGTCTTGAAATGAAGCTGACCTAGGTACACGCAATAGCGCATTGACATTATTACTGTTCTTTCAACATAGAATTTCGTCATCTCACTTTTTCTTTCGTTCTTTCTCACGGAAGACTCACGTACAGTACGCTGGCAATTTTTTCTTCGTTAAGAGTTTTTTTAAGCATGAATAAACAAAATATATTTTAATATAAGAAGCTTCTCTCTCTCTCTCTCTCTCTCTTTCCGTCACTTTAAACAAGAAGAGAAAATGTTTTCTTGGTTTTTGCGTTTCTGCATTATTTAAATGATGATGTTTTCTTGCAATTCGTAACGTACAAAGATGGAGAGGAAGCAACAATATATTATGCCGCTAAGGCAGGATTGGAGCAGATTTTAGATTTGGCTCATTTATACCTCATTCGATGCAGCGAATATGTGGTCGCGAGACTTTTTAGACGTTGTGTTCGTGGTGAAAAAGGCCAAAAACTAAGGAGAAGTCAAGGTTTTGAAAAAGCGCGAAATCTCGTAAAAGTGCTATAACTTTTATTAGAAGGTCATAGAGACCTGCGGTTTCCATATTCAGATTGAGCGTCTGAAACAGCATTTAGACGTGTACCTTTCCGGTTTTAAACCTAAGACTGGTTGTTATCAAAAATCTGAAACCCAAAGGTCGGGTTTTTCGCCCCAAATCAATCAAGTCCCCAGGGGAAGGTCCTAGAGCGAGAAACTTGACGTCATTCGATGCGCCTTGGAAAGCTCTACAAAGTTATACGTGCAGTTTTTTGAGAAAAATTTTCTCTCAAAAATTATACCTTATTTACTAAGAAAAGGGAGAATTCTACCCCTAATTCGCAATTTTCCCCATCAGAACTCAACTTTTACACAATGAAAACATTATATTCGGAATCAGCGTCGGAAATCGAGTCGAATCATACATATTTCACAATTTTTCCTTGATTTTCATTTTTTGATGAAAATCTTGGGAATTATTCGACGGGAAAATTCAGAAAAAATAAAAGTGATCGAATAGGATAAGAAAAAAGTACATCATTCGACTCGATTTCCGACGCTGATTCCGAATATAATGTATACGCTGATTCCGAATATAATATAATGAATAGAATCACCGGATTTTACCGAGTATTATCCATAAAATTTCGAGATGTGTATGAACATGGGTGATCGAGAAGTTTGATCATCTCGCAGCAATATTTGTTTTTAACTGTGACTCAGACTTACTCGAGAATGAGAAATCCAAATAGCTTGAAAGTTAGCTTTGATGACCCAAAATCATATAACCGGGTCGCTAATCTTTTTTGAGAAATGTTCACATGTGAAAACAAAGCAACTAGAGAGCCATGAAATCCACTTAAAAGACGTTCAAGTGTCACTGATAGCTAGAAATAATTCAATAAACTATCTAAGTTAATATTGTCCGATTCTTTCTTATTTTTCCGGTTTGCGATACCTACTTACAACGGTGCAAACGGCTCCGATAAACAGTGTATAATTTCACGCTTAAGAAAATTATTGCAAAATGGCCTTTTCTGCTTAACAAAAAGTTTAGCACTCATGTGAGTGAAAGCCACTCTCATCAACGAATAATCATATAACATTAAGTTGCTTTTCGTGTGGGAATGAAATTATAAAGGTATTGGCTTATCCTTCGAAGGACAAATATGCCGAATCAGCCCGGACGAACTTGATAAACTACATGATGCGCAGAGGAAGAACTTTTCTAACTTACCACAAACCCTTACTTACAAAAATAATTTGTAGCGTTAATTCTGAGTCTATGTACTTATGTATGACGGCAAATACATTGTCTCACGATCAGATGAATATTTAAGCGGATGTCTGCCACTTCCATCAGTAAGAAAAATTCAAAAGCAGTGATTCACTCGGGTAGGAGTAAGGCAACACCGGCAAGATCCAAAGGATGCGAAAAATAGGTACGCGACGTCAAAAAAGTCCGTGTAAGACAAGCATCCAAAATGGCCTTGCTTGAGAGAAACAGGCAAGTAAAAAACTGAACAGTTTTATTCCGCCTTCTTCCTAGGTTATGGGTAATAAACAGACAAAGAGACTTAAGCTTTCAAAAGCGGCACAACAGCTCTTGAATGCTAATAGTAACAGTGTTACGATGCCCGGAACTATCGCTGTGATCCAAGACGTAGATGAAGATAAAAACTACGAATCAATTTCCTTGCTATGGCTCGACGCAAATGTAAATACGAGCAACAACAATCTTATCACACAGAAGAAGCTGCGAGCTGCGGTTAATTTTCTTCGAACGTTCAACAACCCGAATGATTGTGCAGAGTGGATGCAGAGACGTCAAGTTACTGCTGCCGACGACAAAATTATACTAATCGTGTCAGGCGAATTAGGCAGAGACTTCGTTCCCGAAATTCATGAATTACCACAGTTGATAGCTGTATTTGTCTACTGCATGGACAAGGTGGTGAATGAACAATGGGCTAAAAATCATTCAAAAGTAAGTAATTCTGCGCTGCATACATTATTTGACTAAGCGAATTTTTGTCTGTCTTAGGTGCTAGCTGTTTTAACGGATTCAAATGAACTCGTGTCAGTCGTAAAATCAAATCAGGAAAAATTTCAGAAATTAGAAGAGCTATCATCTCTACCACTATCGGTTTACGATTCGTCTGCAGCTTCTTCTTCAAAAACGGAAAATTCATCTTCCGGTTTGAATGGTGACTTCCTGTGGTTTCAGTTCTTTATCGAAGTGTTGCTTCGAATGGATAAAATGGAAGAAGATCGTCAGGAACTTGTGCAGTTATGTCAAAAAACGCAAGCTGGAAACGCAACTCAGTTGCAAATTGTTAAGGAATTCGAAGAAATGTATCATCCCGGTAATGCAGCATGGTGGTACACGCGCCAATCTTGTATCTATCGTATGCTAAATAAAGCTTTAAGGTGTCAAGATTTAGATACACTACTTGCCTTCCGATCGTTTATCACTGACTTGTTCAGACAACTGAACGATCTGCAAAATAACGCCGACTTATCATCTTTACAGCAGCTTTATCGAGGTCAGCTTATGTCAAAACAAGAACTAGATCGAATGAAATCGTCTGTGGGAAAATACATTTCTATGAACAGTTTTTTGTCAACGACTCTCGACAGGCAGGTGGCAGTTCGGTTCCTTAGACAGCCAAAGGATGGACTGGGACCGGTGCTTTTTGAAATTGAAATTGATCCGTTGTTACAGGATGCTAAACCTTTCGCAGATATCGCACCCGTCAGTTATTTTAAAAACGAGAAAGAAATTCTTTTCATGCTTGGATCGATCTTTAAAATTCTATCTATTACAGAGTCAGACGGAATATCGATTATAAAACTGAGTTTATGTGGACAAAATGAACATGAACTAAAAGAGCTGTGGGCTCGTTTCACGCAAGAAATAAATTTACCGGCATTACCGTCAATAACTCTTATGCATGTTGGCAATGTATTGAGGGAAATGGGTGAATATGACAAAGCGGCAAAATGTTATAAACGTCAGTTAGATCGATTAGCTGATAAAAACACTCCAGAGGCTGCAGAGTGTTACCGTGGTCTTGGTAGAGGCGCTCAGCACAGAGGTGACTACGATCTAGCAATTAGCTATCATGAAAAGGCATTAGAAATTAACTCGAATATGTCAAGCAATGATGACCGTGTAGCTACTGCTTATGGTAATCTTGCGCTTGCGTATGGAGAGAAGAAAGACTATAAAAAGGCATTAGAATACCATCAGAAATGTTTAGAAATAGAAGAAAAAGTCTATGGCGCGCAGAGTGAGGAAATTGCTCTTACCTATAACAACATGGGCGCAGATTATCAGGATCAAGGCGAGTATGACAATGCTTTGGTGTCTTACAAGCACGCATTAGAAATCTACATCAAGTGCTTGCCTGCCGACCACTACTCGATTGGTTTGGCTTGTATGAATATTGGTGACACTTATTACGGCATAAAACAGTATTCAACAGCTTTAGAATATCTGGAAAGAGGTTTACAAATCTTCAACAAATCTCTTCCCGAAGTTCACGAATGGAAAGCGTCAATCTATAACTATTTTGGCCGAGTATACGAAGATACAAGCAAATTAGATCTGGCGCTAGAATACTATATCAAAGCTGAGGGAATTTATACTCATCTTAAAATGACTGACGCTCATCAAACTTGCTTTGAGAATCGACAGCACTTGGCTGACGTCAAAGCAAAGCTAGAATGAGTAACATCATCCCACCACAGAAATTATAATACAAGCACTAAGACCTACCACTTAATGTAATCCCATGCTATTTGAAAAAATAAATCAAGAAAAATTGCGAGTCTAAACCTAATGATATAGTTTTGGAACTGGCCTGAGTATGCACTCAAGCGCGCATTCTATTCAACAAAAAAAGAAATTTTAGACTTCGTATTCTACTTTCTCCAAAAATATTTTTTTTAGTTTAAACAACTTTTTTTTCCCGTAAAAATACAAATATGAATTATTTGAGTTTGCTTATTTTAATTTTGTTTTTTATGAATTCTGTAGAAGGGGGATGGAAAAACTGGTTTTCCAAAAAGGGTGACAGCGGTGGAATTGCAGCAGGTGGACCAGTGAAAACCCTTGTTAGCCCATGAAACCACATAGAGTAACGTATAAACTGTCCTCATTCGAACAGATAAGGCATAATAGAAGAGATTGACTGATTTGAAGTAGTGCTACTATTCTGCAGCTGGGAGTGCGACAGGACTGTCATGTAAGTCGAATAGAAGTGGTGAACTTCCAATGTTAATGTCTTTTTGTTTTGTTGAAGCGCGCCAACAAACCAGCAATTCCAATGGATTAAGCGAGACGATTTCAGCATCTGCAGTAACAGGTATGTATGTGCCTCAAAACAGATGTTTCAACGCGATATGTGCACTTGTCTAAATGTGTCATCCAAAAATTATATATCGCGGCAGGTTTTTCACCATGATGGATTCGATTCTGCAGCATCGAGCAGACAGAAATATACGCACTTAGTTGGGACGCAAAAACATAAGAAACTTGATTTTATTGTAGAACGATTGAATCGTTCTGCAGGATAAGAAATGTGTATTTTTCTGCTTGTTATCAGTACAAGGATTGTGTTGTGTTAAATTTGGAAAAGAACGCACTTAGTTTTAACGCAAAAAATGAGAAAATTGATTTTATTCTCACTCGTTGAATGTAGATGTACTGAATGTAGAGAAAATTGAATAACAGGTAGCAACATTTTGCAAGAGTTAGAAAAAACATTGTATCGATGCCAGCTGAATGCACAAAATTAAAACTAGTGTTCGGCAGGAAACAGGGACAAGTACAATTCGCATTATCATGCATTATATAAAAACGCCGTATCATACTTCCAACACACCCAATAAATACGAAAAGTATTGCTTTTGTGATACGTCTGGTCTGTGCTTTGCTTAAACATTTGGTTGGTACACGATTACAGGGTCCGAACCCATTGTACACACCACATAGAAATAAATTGAGAAAGATCGCGACCTTAAATTGAGTGTAAGTCGTCAGGGAGACAGGAAACACACGTTTTTTCGGAAAAGAAAAAGAATACAGTCATCTGTTTCAATGCTAATGTCTATTTGTTAATTGATTTTCTGCTTCCTTCTATCGTTGTTTTTCGTTCAGTGGGGATTTCATCTTCATCTACTGCATTTTTCATCAATGTGCCATGTTTAGCAACAGGCAGTGTCCATCCAAAAACAGAATGGTACATGACTGTTTTTTGAATAAATTTTGGTAGAAAAGAGTTAGAGCGCTCTGGTTTTCACCATTCGAAAGAGGAGTGTTTCCATAACTAAAGATTTTTTTAAACAGGTTTTTGAGAAGTTCTTTGGACAACTAGGCCATGTGTAGAAATCCTCCAATAGGATTGTATTGACTTTTTGTCGTGGGCTGTTAGGGTGGAGTGTCCTCTTCAAAATGAGAGTCAAGGAAGGCTTTGATTTTCCGCAATTCGGGCGCTGTATCGGATTTTCTAGGAGTCCTAGGATGGACACATGAAAAGATGGATGCGAGCCTATTACATCTTTACATATTGACTGAGGACAAAAGACAGGACAAGAGTACATGATAAGAACGATACACAATGACAACAAAAAGAAAAAGACAAAGGAAAGACAACTAAAGAAGTAAAGAGAGAGAAAGGAGAAAAGAGTGGTAATAATAACAAAGAAATGAACTAGTGGGGAATTCAATTTAAAATTTAAAATCTTTGTGTGTCTCTAATAAAACTTATTACAATCTTATATAACTCAGTCATCTCTGTTACATTTAAAGAAGGTACAGGTTTTTGAAAAAGTATGCGTTCTAGAGTAAGAGGAGCGTTTACCAGAACATTCAAGTCGTTTTGAAAACTTCTGCATAGCTGGTTATTTTGACAGTCCAAAAAGAAATGTTGCACTGTCTCGTCTTTTCCACAATCACAGTGCGAGCTGGTAACTAAATTTTTTTATAAAGGTCATCATTCAGTCGAAAAAAATTCACTCGCATTTGGTTGAATAACATGTCATATTTTCTGTCTATGTTTTTAAATCTAGGCCATTTATACCAAGGAAAAAAATGAGCGTTTATTGCAGAACGAAATGTAGTGAGAGCAGTAGGTAGTGCATTTCATTGCTTAATTGTCCATGGAAAAAATGTTGTGTCAAACTTAACTTTATAAGTACGGTATGTGTTCATACGATTGTTAGAAGCAGATCGCAGAGTCATAGTTGTTGTTGCTCCTAACGTGGGTATTCTATCAACTAGAAAAGGTGGAGTAAGGCCTCTAAATATTTTGAATAGTAGTAATATTTTATGCATTGTAAAGAGATGTTTAAGTGATAGCCATCCTAGTATGTTAAAGACTTTATCTCGTGAACTGAGACGCATAGCACCACTAATAGTCAGTGCAGCCTCGTACTGTAGCTTTGCAACTGGTTTTAAGTAAGCTAATACAGTAGGCAAAGGAGTATTTGCAGTTTGAATTTCTTTCGTACATGCATAAATTACATCTGCATAACTTATCACTGGCAAAATATACGATTTGTTGATCTGGTCGAGTGTAGTCGTACTTAAAATATTTTTGAAACAGCACATTAGGTATAATATATATTTACACTTTTTTGTGACCTAGTATACATGTAATGACCAGTCCAGCTTAGGTGTTAAGTGCAAGCCCAGATGTTTATGTCGATCGACATACTGAATCACATTTCCGTTCAATAAGAAGAGTGGCGCTTTGTGTTTCGCTTACACTAGAGCTGCCGAGCCAAATGTCCAATTCTTTCACTGTCAATTTCTGTCAATTTCTTTCAGGACCATCGAATTCTGCAGCTGGGAGTGGGGCAGGACTGTCATGTAAGTCGAATAGAAGTGGTGAACTTCCAATGTTAATGTCTTTTTGCTTTGTTGAAGCGCGCCAACAAACCAGCAATTCCAATGGATTAAGCGGCACGATTCCAGCATCTGTAGTAACAGGTATGTATGTGCCACAAAAAGATGTTTCTACGCCATATGTGCATTTGTCTAAATGTCTCATCCATAAACCCATAAAATAAAATAAGAGATAGAAACCCTTTTGCGAAGTCTACCTTGCAACCAATGACGTAAAATATTTTCCTGCTTCTCACTTTAACGCATATAAAGAAGTGAGTAATGCTGTTTCACAGAAAGCTCCCCTAGCTCAACTTTATACATAGTTCACAGGACCTTATGTATAAAACAGTCATATGCGCGGTTATGCATAAAGCTTTTCTAACCATAGAAAAATCATCTTATGCGTAGCCCATGACTTTCCGTTGCCCCAAAATGCGCCCCATATTATGCATAATGCAATCTAAACCGTAACGGCTAATTATGCATAATTAAACCGTTGATTATGCGGAACTCTGCGTATGAGACTGATAGGATAAAAACCTATAAACTGTCCTCATTCAAACAGATAAGGCATAATAAACAGAGGTTGGCTGATTTGAAGTAGTGCTACTATCTGCTAGAGTATTCATATATTAGGGTTTCTAATGAAGTAGATGCCGAGATCTGCTGTTAAGCAGGGTTAAAATAAACGCTGTACCGACTAACGCGTCCACTAGAGCTGCCGAGCCAAATGTCCAATTCTTTCATTGTCAATTTCTTTCAAGACCATCGAATTCTGCAGCTGGGAGTGCGACAGGACTGTCATGTAAGTCGAATAGAAGTGGTGAACTTCCAATGTTAATGTCTTTTTGTTTTGTTGTACAGTTCTTTCCGAAAGAACTGTAAAGAACTGTTTCGATTCAGAGCTAGTGAGTGGATGTAAAACACTTTTTTATACAGCAACTTTTAAGTTTAGAATCAAATAAATTAGGCTTTAATCATCGAGAGAGACTTTAATCATCGAGGCTTTATGCTTAGTTATTTGTGCTAGACATACGATTAAATTATTCTTAATACCATAACTGTGGTGATTAATGTGAAAATAGTTGCACATTTGCATATAGGCACGTGGACATGTGCCATAAAAGTGATACGAAACCCTCTATATACTATTTTTATAGGTTTTCGTATGCGCTCTTTGCAATGATGTGATTCACAAAGTTCAAAAATACTTTAGTCGGGTTTTCCAGAGACCGGATCTTTAGAAAACCCTGATAGAAATATTTTTGAATTTGTAAACCATACTATTGGAAAGAGTGCATAAGAAAACCTATAAAAATAGTATTCAGAGGCTTTCGTATCACTTTCTTGTGCATTAAAACATACAACTGACATATCATTCGACGCAGTTTTTCACGCTGAGTCCGAATAGTTTGTCGCTTCTGTAAAATTTACTTCTAAGCGGAGAAAAAGACTGAAAATCTCGAAAATCTGAGAATTTGTGTAAAATCTCTATATTAGCTTAGAAGCATTTGCGCATCTTTGTGCTATATTCTGTAGATGTCTTATATATAAATGTGGCGTTTCGATAGAGTTAAGACCTATCGAGATATAAGATACAAAATACCGCCTCTAATCGCGATATATTATCCAAAAAAAACCTCATGGGGTGTACATATACGAAATAGTTCTTAACACTTTTATTTCACATATGAATGCTTACCGCAGTGTTACTAGGACATTCACTCAACATGTTGAACTCTAAACCTTTAACTTTGATTATACTTGTTCGTCAAACAGTTCTTTGTCATCTTAGCACAGCTATAATGCGTTATCAGTTTATGCTTATAGTGTGACTG